CGCACGGAGGCGATGGTCGCGATGCACGACCGGGCGGGCGTGGGCGGCCGGCAGTGGCTCATGGCCGAGGCCATGCTCCGGGGCACCGCCATCTTGGTCACCGGACGCGGCCAGTGCACGCGACCGTTCAAGCCGCGGGTCGGCATGCCGGAGGGCAGGAAGCTCAGCCCGGCCCAACGCAGCCTCGCCAACGCGGCCAAGGTCGAGGAGATTGCGGCCACGCCGGGCGCGGGCCTTGGACTGGGCCCGCCGCCGGCCGCGGTGGCGGCTTATATACAGGGCCCATCGGGGCGGCTCTGACGCCGAGACGCTGGGCGTCGACGAAATCAGCCAGTGGGCGACCCTCCTCGCGGACGGCCACGCGGACTGGAACGATTGCATGGCGGCGGCGTCCTCCGACGCCGCCCGGCAGGGCTTGCTTGACGCGTTCTCCGAGACGAGGATTGGACCGCGCGCGTTCGTGGACGACGTCCGCGCCAAGGCCGAGTCGCGGGCGCAGCGCGGACTTCTCGTCCGCGCCCCGCACGCGGCGTCGCGCCGCCACCGAGGACACCTCCAGCACGGCCCGACGAGGACGACCATCTTGGTCCGGGGCTTCGCAGACACCAGGCCCGTCCATGGCGTCGGGTTCGTGGACGGGTATAAGTGCCTCGGAGCCCACAGGTCCGCCGGGCCGCCTGGGCAGGCGCACTTCCTGGCCATCGAGCAGCGCGCGCTCGCAGTGGGCGAGCGGCACACCCAGACGATGGACCAGCTCGGCTTGATCGCTCCACGAGCTCAGCCTGGGCCTCACCGTGAGCTCGCTCCCGAAGGCGGCGCACGGGGCTGAGCTTTGCGTCCGCGTGGAGGGGCTCCAAGCGACCCTGCGTCGCCTCCAGGAGCGCTGGGCCAGGGGGGCCCTACTTGGAGTGCGTGGGCTGATCCCGCGGGCCCTCCTCCTGCGCCACATGGGATGGACTGCCCGCTGGGCCACGACCATGGAGGGGCGCGCCATTCGGCTGTGCAGCTGGGCCCAGGGGGGCCCCTGATATGCCGAGGCTAAGCGCGTCTTGGGCATCGCAGCGCAGGCAGATGGCTCCTGGGCCCAGCGGGTCCGCCAACTCTTGCACCGCTGGGGCCTGCCGGAGCCGCAAGCGGGGGCGGGGGCCCGTGCCCGGCACCGCGACCTCGTCAGGCAGGCCGCGCTGGCTGGCGAGCCCGGCGCAGCAGGAAGCAATCGCGCGCGGGGCGGGCGCGGGCCGCGCAGCGCTCGAGCACAGCGCGGCTGGCGCCTCGCTCCCTGAGGTGCGCGCGTGGGCCCGCCTGTGCCTGCAGGGCTCGTTCGCGCGCGACGCGGCGGGGGGCGCCGGGCCCTGCCGCTTCTGCGGCCAGTCGCAGGAGACGGCTGCAGCCCACCTGCTCTGCTTCTGTTTCCGGGCGGCGCAGGTCCTCAGACGGCCGGCCCAGCCGCGGCCGCGCCCCCCTGCAGCCCGCGGGCGGCCGCTCGCCTCAGCCGCCGGCCTGTCGCCGCGGGAGGCGCACCGCCTCGAGGTTGCGTTGCGCGAGGCGCAGCTGTAATTAGGTCCAGCCGGAGCGGACAGGTGCAGAGTCCCCAGACCCCCCGCTCCCTGCCCGGCCCCGTTGCCCCTGGCCCGAGTCTCTTGGGGCTTTGCCGCGGCTTCAGTGGGGCCGCCTCGCCCCCGCTGGCGGGCCGCCTGGCAGGGGCACCCTCGGCGCCGCTTGCCTGACCCGGGCGGGCCGCGGACCCCCCCTGGGCCGCCTTGCGGCCCTTGGCCTGGGCCCCCGTCCCTGGGCCCCGTCCCGCATTCGGGGCCGACTTCAAAAGCGACCCATCGCTGGTGGGTCGCTTTTGAGGTCGGCTTGCCCTTGGCCCGCCTGGCCCCGCTCTGCCCCCCCTTGCCCGGCCTCGGCCTCGGCCCCCCTCCTGGCCCGGCCTCCGCCTCTGCCCCCGGGGCGACCCGGCTTGGCCCCGCCCCCTCGCCCCGGGCCCGGTGCTCCGCTCCGCGCCTCTCCGCTCCGGGCCGAGTGCCCGCCGTGCAGCAACCCGCTCGCTCGCCGCAACGGGGCTGCCGGGGGCAGCCCTCGCGCGGCACTCCGCCAGCTACGTGCTGGGGGGGCCGCCCGACGGACCCCTCCCCGAGGAAATGGAGGGCGGGCGCCCCCCGCGTAGCATCGGGCGTCACCCTGCGCGCCGTCGGCCGCGGGGAGGGTCGCCGCGTGGCAGGCGCTCGGAGGCCGCAGGCGGACTGAACGGGCCGAGCCGGGCGGCCCGGCCGGCCGCGCGGCCCCGACGCTGCGGGCCGCGTCGAGCCGAGCGGAAGGATGGAAGGAGAAGGAGACGCGGGGATAGTCTCTTCAAAACAAGTACCCAACACCACAGGATGGTTGGCAACAGTTGATGTTTGCCTTTTCTGGGTCCTCTTGGGAAGGTTCTGGGGGCGTCTCGGAGGCGTCTTTGGGCGTCTTGCAGCCATTGTAAGCGTGTTGGG